TGTGCTCGGGGCACTTACTGTCTGCAAACAAAAGAGGCTTTCCCAACCACCACCCATCCTCTGGATGGGACAGGCTTGCCTTGTCACTAACAGGATACCAAAAATCTCCCACCCTTTTTGAAGGGAGCCTTGAACATCCTCAGGTTCCCATCCTGTGGAGAGCCTACCCTCATCCCGAACCGTTCGTTAACATCTCTTTATCAACAGTATTGTCTTAATATCTCCCCACCCACCACCCATCCCCACTCCTCCAAGGAAAATAGCCACTCAATCACCCCTTATCTTTCCTTTTCCATCAATCGCGCCTTATGACCATATTGATAACTGCCAAAAGCTGAGTACCCTTGTGTCTTAGCAGAAAGGATCGGGGTGGGGGAGGCGCAGATCGCAGCCTTCACAAGACGGAGGGGAGAGGTGGGAGAGGGGACACTCTGCTGGCGTGGGGGGTGGAGGAAGAAAACCAACCCCGATCATCCTTTCTATCCCACCGCAACAGCCTCAGAGAGTCCCGGTCCTGGGCCCTTCCCCTCCGCAGGACAAAGAGCAGCCCTCACTGGCGCCTTGCCCCAGTCGTGTCACCTCTTCTGGAGCTTTATATCCACCTCCGTTGGATGGCAGCGCCAGTAGGGGAGTCGCACGTGATGGGAAGAAGGAGAGGGATATGCGCGGCACGGGGAGCGCCCACCCAACGGCGTCCGCAGCTCCCACCAAGCGTAAGGTGGCCAGATTTCAACACAGAGCAGCTGACGATAGTTTGAGCGGGCGCGGCTGGCGCAAACTACCGTCAGTCACCCCGCGCTCATCAAAACAAGTCCGGGGAGAGTAGGTATTGGGCAGGAAGGCTTCGGGTGGCTCCCCCCACCGTCTCTTCCCGCCCAGACGCCCAAAGCATTCCAGCCCGCCCGGGGCGAGTCAGCCGCGGTGCAGCCGGTGGTGAGCAGGAAGGCTTCTGGCGGCTCCCGGGCGGCGATGCCTCTGCCATCCGCTCGCCGGCTCTTCCCGCCCGGATGCCCGAAGCATTCCAGCCCGCCCGGGGCAAGTCGGCTGCGGTGCAGCCGGTGGTGGGCAGGAAGGCTTTGGACGTCTGGCGTCTGGGTGGGAAGAGCCGGCGGCAGGGTGGCATCTTCGCCGGCTCTTCCCGCCCGGACGCCCGAAGCCTTCCAGCCCGACCAGGGCAAGTCGGCTGCGGTGCACCCAGTGGTGGGCAGGAAGGCTTCAGGCGTCTGGCGTCTGGGCGGGAAGAGCCAGCGGGGGAGGCATCTTCGCCAGCTCTTCCCGCCCGGACGCCCTGCGCCCAAAGCCTTCCAGCGTGCCCGGGGCGAGTCGGCCACGGTGCAGCCGGTGGTGGGCAGGAAGGCTTCTGGCAGCTCCCAGGTGGCGATGCCACTGCCATCCGCTCGCCGGCTCTCCCCGCCCGGACGCCCAGCGCCCAAAGCCTTCCAGCGTGCCCGGGGCGAGTCGGCCACGGTGCAGCCGGTGGTGGGCAGGAAGGCTTCTGGCAGCTCCCAGGT